AAGTAAAGACTTGTGTCGCTAAAGTTTCGTTGGAACGAAGTTACGGAAAAATCAATTAACAAACGGAGATGTAACAATATCATTTTCCAACAATATTACACTTTTAGAGACAAGTTGGTTTGGACGAGAAGAGTTGAAAACTTGCTCAATAAATATCAAATGTGAAGCTAAAAACCTGATTGAGTTATTGCTACTTTTTTCTGGAAATTTTGTGTCGAGACTTATCAGTAGCCCTGATAATGCTAAGAACTACAAACATAGTATTTATTCACAATCAGCCACTCCTTAGTTCTTTACTTTTGTATGTGTAAACACCTACTGCCACATGAAGGAAGCATTATTTTAAAATATTTTTATAGCCAGCAAGTGAACCATTGTAATATTACTCAATATTATTTTTCATTAGTGTTATTAGGATGTGTATGTATGATTGTGGGTTGAAGAGGGGTAGTATAGAAAGATCTTATCTCAAATTATTTTAGACTGTTGCTACATCAATATCAATCCTACTGTTATTATATTCTTTAATAATGTGAAATAGCATGCTGATCACAAAATGAATTGAAACTTTAATGACTTTTTAAATAGTTTTTGTTGGTTTCAGTATTTGTGTATATAATGCTGTCAGTAGAGGCCAGAGTATGTTATTTCTCACAACAATCTGCTGTTGCTGAAACATGTTTTTATTTCTGTTGTATTACAAGTCCTTTTTGGAGTAGAAATGAATTTTTTAAATTGTTTATAAGGAGGACTCGGATATGGTTTGTGAGGAAAGTTCAAGGATGCCATTAGCTGCAGCATCTTTACCTTCTCCAGGTATAACAATCCCAGAAACCACAACATCAGTTTCAATGACAGGAAGTTCTACTTGTGAGGAATATCCATCAGTGATTTCAGAAAGTAGATCGTTTGTAGACAGAGGTAAATGTGTGCTATTGAACTTTGCAAAAGGTTAAAAAATATATGAAATTAAGCCTTGCTTGTTTATAGTGAGGTTATGAACACAAATATTTTATTGATATATATATATATATATATATAATGCTATATTACAGAAGCATTGTAAATATAAGGATTTCACTAGACACATTTATTTATGTGTTGGTTGATATCATATAATGTGTTTTAAAGAGGATATCTTATCCTCTGCATCTAGAAATAAAATTCAGATTATAAAGATACAGTGTGTCTGTGTGGTTATTAATGAATTTTTAACAAAATTTTCAGGAGTTAAATGCTTTCACGTTTCAAGAAACTATTTTACTACCAGTGTTTCAGACTTAGGCCTACACCAGGCAATTACAATTGTTCAAAGTTAGCTCCTGTCAGTAAAAAACCTAGTTACACTACCTAAAACTTCATCCAAAGGAAAGAAGAGCTTTGATTTCACAACACAAAACAAGGATGACATAACCAACTTTACTGCAGTTGTTTGTTAGCATTCTTGAAAACATTCTTGCAAAATATTTAGTTGTGTTGCTGTTGTATTGTTTTTATATCATGTTACCAAAGTTTTGTTTTTTGTTCTTAGTCAGTTTACTACTAACTGCCTGATACAGGTCTAAAACCAAAGAGTTGAAAATAGAGCAAGTTTTTTGATAGTTGAAACTGTCAAACTTGCAGTTATGGAAAAGGTGTACTCGGAGTGCATTAAATACTCAAACAGGCTAATTGAAAAGGCTTGTTAGCATCTGATGAAAATACATTCACAGTCCTTCTTTTCACTTTTTTTTATTATTTGCCACAGATGTGTTCTGTTTATTTTTACAGTCATATTTATTGTTGAAGATTAACTCTACTGTTTTTTATTAACTCCCTAAACCTGAGCAGATGCTTCAAGTATCTGGCTGAAAGTCCCAATTTCACCTTCAGATGTTGATGGCATCCAATAACATTTATGTCTCTTTGGCTGAAAACTAATCCAAACCATATTATTAACCACAAAATTTAGAAAAGTTTTATAAGGTATGGTGATGATTATTAGAAAATCATGAAAAAAAGCATGTTCCAGCAGAACATGCAAAAAAACGTAGGTTTAAAAAGTTAGACACAACTTGCATATATAGTAGGAATATATGTTTTTGAAATTTGAAATTCTAAATATAATATTATTCATACCTTAATGTTCAGAAAATAAATTATTTAAAAGCTTCACCATTAACATTTATTGGTAATAAAAAAGTGTTCTCAATTTTTGGGCAAAGAAATATTTTTGGATTAGTTTTTTTTTTAAACAAAATGCTTATTTTTAAAACTTTGTGTACACTTGAAAAGATTTATCGACTGATACACCTGTTTCAACCAAATTCTGATGATTGATTTTTAATAATGGAGAGAAAATTGGTGATCTTGTTTAAAAGCTTTGATGTAAAGAAATAACATTAACAGTCATACTTATCATAACTTACTAGATGGGTATGGTAATATCAGTTGAAAGTAGCTTTAAAGCATGTTTGTGTGTAACTTGTTAATTATTGTTTTCATTATTTTTAGTGGCCTGTCCTGTCTGTAGTGTTCCAGTTCCACCAAACAACATTAATTCTCATTTAGACAAGTGCCTTCTGAGGGAAGAAAGAAAACATTTTGAAAAAAAGTTGAGACATTTTGAAGTTCTTCATTGAATTACTAAACGTTTTTTTTGAAAGGGGGGGCATTAAGTTTAACTAAATCTATTTCAGGTTTAATATTTCTCTATAATAAAATATATTTAATGAAATAATGTAAACTGTAAATTTTCTATTGTCAGAATTCTTAGTTGAAATACCTTTGTTTGTACTGGCAAACTTTTTGCCATACATTTCTCTAATGTAAAGATTTTGTGTTTCAGCTTTTAGTCTGGTTGAAACTTTGAACTGTATTGCAATTGTAGTTTTGAAAATGTTCAGTGTAATTATTTAGTAACTGTAATCACTTAACTAAAAGGGTTGGAGAACTGAAAAGTTATCATTGATGATGTGGAAATAAGGTGAATTTATAACTAATAATGTTTTTAAAAATGGAAAATAATGTTGTTAAAAGTGTGGTCACTTCTCTCAGCTTAATAAATTGGGAATAATTAGTTTATTTTAGTTATATCCAGTAATAAAGCTTTGTGGTTCATATTATAAATAGTGGCTACAATACTTCTTTGAATGTAGATTCAGGGATTGTTATCAAATAAAGCTTTATGGTTCATGTTATAAATAGTGGCTACAATATTTCTTTGAAGGTAGCTTAGTGTGGTTGAATAAAGCTTTGTGGTTCATGTTATAAATAGTGGCTACAGTACTTGTTTGAAGGTAGCTTAGTGTGGTTGAATAAAGCTTTTTTGTTCATATTAAAAATAGTGGCTACAATACTTCTTTGAAGGTAGCTTAGTGTGGTTGAATAAAGCTTTGTTGATCATGTTATAAATAGTGGCTACAATACTTCTTTGAAGGTAGCTTAGTGTGGTTGAATAAAGCTTTGTTGATCATGTTGTAAATAGTGGCTACAATACTTCTTTGAAAGTAGCTTCAGGCAGTGTGGTCGAAATTTGGGAAAAGTTTTTTGTGGACAGCCCCTCCTTGTATTTTTTGGTGGAACCAAAAAAAAACGTTTCAGTGAAATATTTTTTTTATCAGTATATAATACAAATTTATCAGTTTGTTGCCAATAGTTAATAACATGTTAAATACTGAAATTAAGCATTACAGCTCTTGATTTCCATCCTGTTGTATGTAGAAAAGATGGGGAAAAGAGAAAGCCAATCCCTAAACTTGTATATCACTTGCTCTCAGATAAAGATTTGAAAAGAAAAATGAAAGACTTTGGACTAAGTACTCAAGGGAACAGACAGGTATGGCATGTTTTATCATGCTGATTCAGTAGGTTTCATAAACCAAACAGTGACTTATGTCTTTAAGTTGAAGTGAGAAACAGAAGTTAAGTACAAGTAGTTGTTATTGGACATTACGCGTTACAGAATTATAATGGAAAATGTGCAACAACTTAATTTTGATTTACAGTTGATGTAGTTTGCATGATAGAATGTGGTTTTCAACATCTAACATTATACAGTAACTTTGTGTCTTCCCCACTTGATGTACATTTTAATTATACCAAGTTAATAATATTATCATTAGATATGTGTGAGTTGTAGTTCATTGTCATCCACTAGCAATGTACATGTATACATATATAAATCATATATATATACACCTGGAAAAAAGTTAAGCACCCCCAAATATTTTTCAGGATTGCTTATTGAAAATAAGGTTTAATTTTCATGATGTTGAGCAATGTTCATAATTTCAAAC